TATGTGTGTATATATATCAGGGTGTATTAATTTGCCTGCTGGTTCATAACATCATTTGGTCCTCCGGGCCGGATCGCATTGCATTGAGGCATATATTTGTATTTAACATTCATATTTGTCTGGTTTTGTCTTTTATATTGTCAGCTCCTTTGAAGTTTTAATTGTTATTTATTTTACCATTTTTAAATCAAATTTTAAACATGTATTTAAAAGTTGACATTACTAGACTAGAAGGGCAATTGAGAATTTTGGATGTTGAAGTTGAAGATGTGGGATATGATATAAGAGAAACTAACAATCTTTGGCACTTGACTTTCAATTATCCTAAAAACGTGGTGTCAAGAGCGGGATTCGAACCCACGACCTTCGGCTTGATACGCCGCTACTCTACCACTTGAGCTATCGTGACTTCGATCCCCTCGGGGACTAACTTCCCATCTCAACCCCACCTTTTGAATTTTCCCTCCTTTTTGCCATTTTTCGTTAGTAGTAGTACTGACTTTTTATCTCAACTTAAAAAGCTTAATTAATTGAATGTTATTAATTGGTCTTAAGTGGTAATTAAAAATAGTGAATTTAACTCTTAACTCTCGCTAGAACGCTACAAGCAACTTTGTTATCTTTAAGAATTTTATATTATTAGATTATAAGAGTGGGGAAGTAATCAATTACAATCATTTCACAGCAAATTCAATTTTTCCAGTAAGAAGAAAATCGCGAGTCCATTGGCGCCCTAGGTGTCTTGCAGAATTGTCGAATGCGTTCGGGTTGAAAGGTATTAGACTGGGGGTTTGAATGAGGGTCGAGGTTTTTATGAAGACGACTTCTTGCGGTTCCGAGGATAAATGGGATCTGAAGGAGTGTAAGGTTGGACATGACGTACGTAGTAGCTTGAGCAATGGTACGAAGGATTTTAGAATGTAGTGACTGGATTCTAGGAGGTTGGAACCCATGTCCAGATTGGCTTTAGAAATGATGTATAATGTTTGTTTTGCAGTGAAAGTTTCCATCTGTATTGAAGTAATCTTTTGAGTAGTCAGTGCCGTCTATACAGTACTTTTATTTTGAGTCGAGCGTGGAGGCATCAAGAAGGTGTCGTTGTAAAGTCCCAAATATTGGGGAACTTTGGTCCCTGGGATAGGAATAAAGTTGTAGTAGATTAGATAGATAGATTAGAGGTGATAAGCGCAGGATGAATTTTATTTGCTGTGATTTGTTACGTTGAGTCTGATTCTCAATTTTTTGGACCATTATACCAAGCAGGAGAGATGGACTTGGTTTCTGATGGCCATTAGGTCTGGGTTTGCTGAAAGGATGACGGTATCGCTACGTAAGATCAGACGAAAAACCGAAACTTAACAAATAGGGCATTCCCCGAGGCGAAACAGCATTATTACAATAAAAACTTTAAAAAACCTAACCAACCCCACATTAAAAAAATATCCTTACATTCAGCAAAGATGAAACAAGATCGTCACAAAAATAAACTTCAAAAATTTCATTATAAAAAGAACAACATTTAACTCCTCTCGCTTTCAATGAAGATAAAACATCACCATCAAAAAAAGTACCCAAGCATTACATAAAATCAAACAAAAACTGAACAAAACAACATTTACTATAACATAATACAGCAGCAAATAAGAATTAAAGAAACAACATGAAATTGAACAAACCTAACGAACCTCACATTCAACAAAGATGAAACAACACAACATTAACATTAAAGCATATTAAAAACGAACAATATTTAACCAACCACGCATTGTAAAAATGTGAAAAATCATCGTAAAAAATCGACAAACTTTGTAAAAAAATTGAACCAACAGATTAATAAAAGATGAACAGCATCGTCGCCAAAAGGACTCAAATTCTACATAAAATCTCTATTCTACATAAAAAAAGAAAAAACATTTAACCAACCACACATTGTACAAAAGTGAAACGGCATCGTCACCAGAACTACACAAACATATAAAATATACACATAGATAAACATATAAAATCAAATAATAAACCAAACAAAACTTAGCCAACACGACATTTAACATAGACGAAACTGCAAATAAAAACTGAAAAACAAAATAAAAACACACAAAAAAAAAGAACAAAAGCCAACGAACTTCACATTCAACAAAGATGACAGAGCATAAAAAAGGGGCTCAAATATTACAGAAAATCATACCAAAAAAAGCCAAATTTAACCACCACCACATCCAATACAGACAAAATAGCATTATTGCAAAACACTCACACTATAAAATCAAAAGTACACACACACTGTACAAAAGTGAAACGGCATCGTCACCAAAACTACACAAACATATAAAATATACACATAGACATACATATAAAATCAAACAATAAACCAAACAAAACTTAACCAACACGACATTTAACATAGACGAAACTGCAAATAAAAACTGAAAAACATAAAATAAAAATATACCAAAAAAAGAACAAAACCCAACGAACTAAACATTCAAAAAATATAACAGAGCAACAAAAAAGAACTCAAATATTACAGAAAACCATACAAAAAAAGCCAAATTCAACCACCACCACATCCAATACAGACAAAATAGCATTATTGCAAAACACACACACTATAAAATTAAAAAAACCCGTGTAAAGCGGTAAATATTATAAAACAAAAACAAAAAACATTGTACAAAGGTGAAACAGCATCGTCTCCAAAACTACATAAACACATAAAATATACATATAGATATAAATATAAAATCAAACAACGAACTTAACCAACCCGACATTTAACATAGACGAAACTGCAAATAAAAACTGAAAAAAACCTAAAATAAAAATATACCAAAAAAAAAGAACAAAACCCAACGAACTTCACATTCAACAAAGATGACAGAGCATCAAAAAGAACTCAAATATTACAGAAAAAAAAGCCAAATTTAACCATCATCACATCCAACAAAAACAAAATAGCATTATTGCAAAACACTCGCACCATAAAATTAAACAAAACAGAGTAAAACCCCATAAGCATTACTACAAAACGGACTAAAATGCAACGTAAAATAAAGACAAACAGAATTATTTAAACTTAACCCAAACATTAATATTCAAACAAACAGCAATGAATCTTTCACATTATAACAACAAGTACATGTAGCTAACAAAATAATATGCAAAACAATTACATACCAAACGAATATTTTATATATATATATATTANATATAGTGAAGATTAGGCAAACCCCAAATGATCGAAAATGATCAACTTATAGTCTTTATTGATTTTTAGGCCCTCGTGATGTCAGTCAGTAAAATGGAACAAATAGAACTTTCTCTACTTTCATTGATGATTTATATTTAAACATGGAATAATGTTAATCCGAGCCATATGCTGTTTTATTGAGCGTGAGATGGTTTCGAGAAAGAAAGCTTACAGGTTCGTCAAGTTCAAGAATAAGAGTTTACCAACTGCTTCAGGCTAATGATTAATCAAAAATAATAAACCGTTTATTGTTTAATCCTTTGTGTCAAAGTTTCAAAAGACAGTTTCCGATTTTCCTGAATAATCTTTAAGCTACCACGAAAAGAAAGCCAAGATGTATTATAAATTTCTAAAAACCTTTTACTACGGACGGTCGGTTTTCTCAATTATCTTTATTAACCCGACCGATTAGCTATTAATTAAAAACTGCATTGTTGAAGCAAAATGAAGTCTCTAGTCTTCCAAGACGGCAAAATACCTTTAGCAATTTGTTCTTAATTAAATGGCAGAAAGTTATTATTAAAAATAGCCCAGGATATTGAAACGTTTGCACAGTTTTTAAAGGATTTGTATTATTTCAGGATTATCATATTTTAAGAGAGAACCTTTGCTTGAATGCTGTAACCATCAAAATATTAGTGTTATGTTAAGACTACCATTACTTAGCAGTCAGCTAAGTCACCTAAATAGAATTATGCGGTGGCAACGTGACATGAGGAAATATGGAGGCGATTTATTTCAAAAGGTTTACAAGAACAAGGCATAATTTGTCGAGTGTTGTCCTCGTAGATATATTATGGATTACTTATTGACATAAATTTAACCAATATTTAAAATGACCAAAGGCATGTTAAAAATCGTTAGTGGGATGACAAATTCGGCTGGCACATGCTGTCCAAGTTATCTGAAACGCTTTATTGCAGTCATAACGCGTTCAATTGCAACTCATATTTATTTTAAATTTTAAAAATAAATTGAAGAAAAAATATTATTACTAATTATTCAGATATCGTGAGATGCGGTCTGGTGTGATGTAGGTTTCAGAAAAACATTTTCTTTATCGTGCCAACGTTTCGATCTTTATTGAGATCATCTTCAGGGCCTGGGGTTTACAAACATTGTTTACATTACCATCATGTACGCTACGGTACTTATTTTAGAAGTGTTTATAGACAATAAATATTTAGGGTTGAAAAAAGAACTTACAACACTTTGCTTCTTTTTTCATTACATTTTATTTTAGGGTAATAATTTTCCTCTCTTGCTACAGTTTACTTACTGATCAGCAAGATGGCAGCATCATCAAAATAAAAAAAAGACAACTAAACCCTAAATATTTATTGTCTATAAACACTTCTAAAATAAGTACCGTAGCGTACATGATCATTTAGGATGTGGAAAAGTGAATTTATACAATGCAATTTGTTAAATGTAAACAATGTTTGTAAATCCCAGGCCCTGAAGATGATCTCAATAAAGATCGAAACGTTGGCACGATAAGAAAATGTTTTTCTGAAACCTACATCACACCAGACCGCATCTCACGATATCTGACTAATTATCGATTAACGGTCACTAATCTCTACACAATATTATTACTATTATTTTTTGATGGTTTTGTCTCTTTGACAGACTTGGACAGATCTGTATAAATATTTTATGAATTCATAACTCTCACTATCAAACTTTGTAGTAAATTAATAGGGTTTTCAGTTTTTAATGTGCAAAAATAAATATATGAAAACAGACGTACCTTAGTTCTTGGGTAATCACAAAGCTGGCGAGTTGTCGGCTCAGGGGTCTGCAGATGACTGAAAGCTCAGTGGTGTAATCCGGGAGGCTGAAGCTGCGATGTTACACTCCAAAGATTTTAAATAATGATACTTTCTTTTTACCTAACGGGACCCCCTCCGCGGTGTTCTCGACGGTTTTATTGTCCCTGGACCCTCTATCAAAGATTTAAATACAACTTGGCTGAATCATTTCGCTGTGAAAACCGACATACGAGGTGGCTGAGGAAGTAAGGGATGATTTTAAATAAAGGGTAACATTTTCTAATAAACGTGAACAAATTTAGTTTTATCCAAATATTACTTACAGTTCCGAAAAACAACTAAATTTATGTAACAAACTAATCTTAAAAATTACGAGACAACTTTGTTTTTAGGTCAGTGATAGTTGATTGTGATAGCTCACAATATGTGCAATAATCTTTTGTAAGAATATGAAGTACAAGAAAGAATGCACTCAACCAATAACATTTACAACTTGCTCTAAACAACTGTTTTGTAAATTCTTTCATTTTTTATTAAAAAATCTTATATAAACGCTGCCATTCATTATGACTTATGCTGTTATACATACCTGAAGATTCTATGAATCGGATCGATTTTCATCAAATTTTGCCGTTTATTAACAAACGAAATTTTTGACATCGGGGCAAGGTTTCAGGCCTACCATCATCTAACGTTTCTACTGTTTCATTTTAACTCAATTTAATAAGTTTTACCTAGAATTGACGAACGAAATGTTGGGAATGATGGTCATGATCATGCCGGTTTTGTCGCATGTAACGTGGAAGCCCAAAAGTCATCATTGCTGCTTGGTTCATATTTCGTCGAAAACTACTTATTTTCCTCAAATATTACATCCTGACCTAAGTGTTCCATTGTTTGTCGGATCAACATTTGTCATATAGAACCAAAGACCTCGACGTCTTGACTCATATATCATGAAGGCCATGCGGAATCTTTGCCGCCTATTCATATCAAATATAAATATGTGCGTCAGAAATTGAGACCAATTTCTTTCAATATTTGTCTAGAATTGACCTATCGATTTTTGTCTTAGTGGATCCGAAATTAAGCCCAGCAATTGTTTGCCGCCTATGCCCTCTCGAAATTTCGTCCGATTCTCGATCGATTTTTCTCGAATTTTAACCTAAATTGCACTACATGTTATAATATATTATACAACAAAATCTTTACCTTGAGGTTCACTTACCAGTATTGCATGAAGTTTTGGCTAGAACTCAATAATAAAATGCTGAGACGCAAGTCTAAGATTTTCATCGAGTATTTCATTTTAATCTAAGTTTAACAAGTTATGACTGCAATTCTTATTTTAATCGTTGAAATTAACCCTACGTTCCTCTTTGCCTCTCGTTCATCAATGAAATGTATATAAGGCTTTATGGCAATGATTCATGACTTCTTTCGCCGGACCTGACAACTTCTTCGTAGTTAGACTTAACTTCAACACCAAACAGTTGGGAATTGTATCAAGATCAAGGCTAATTTTCGTCAAGTTAATGTCCAAAGTTCAACTCCTGACAGGACATTGCCGTTCTCATCCGCCATTACTCACGCATTTGAGGGACTTTCCAGCATAATCATAGCGTCCTCAACGCTTATACGCTGCCTTCCGATCCGCCGTATCCCGGATGTATAACGGTGGTCATACGCAAGATTCGTGCGACGGTTACAGGTAGAAGACAGCCTCTTCTCTAAGTTCCTGCCAGGGGCGTCGCCACGTTCCACTACGAATCCATTCCCACTGTAACAGGGGCTGAATTTTGGAACATTTCTGTTACCCCGTAGTTCAGATGGTTATGCACCCTTCCCCGTCTATGCAGTCAGGATCTGGTACCCTCTGATAAGGCACCCGCCGCCCATGCCGACCCGTGGCGACACGAGTACAGCTGGTGCTTTAGAGCCCTCTGGGCTACACCTTTATTTTGCGCCCGAACACGCCCCTTGTAACCAAGGGTTGGGAGGGGGTCACATGATAGAATGAAGGAACCTGGATTGAGAAAGGGACGTGGATGAGGACACGAGGTGGGCAGTTTCGGGGTCTCGAGCCTCAACCACACTACACCACCCGTCGCTGTAGTTCCACATTGAGTGGACTACAACTCGTTGGGTGGGTACCGGTTTGTACAAACAGAAGAAATACTGCTGATTACTGCCAGGAAGAGGAGGAGACCGCAGAACATATTTTATGATTCTGTGAAGGTCTATGTAGGTACAGGTTCTTGCAACTAGGACAAGAACAACCGCAAGCTAGATCCTGCACTAAGAAGCCGCTGGCAATGCTATGGAGGCTGGTTAATAATAACCTGAAGCTGGCCAGTGAGTTATACAAAACAGGGGAGCACAATAGATCAGGTCGGGGTGGAGAAGGCCTTGTGGCCGCCTCTTTTATCCCTATCCCTATCCCAAAGTTCAAGTACAATCCTTGCCGCAAATTCACCAACAAAATATGAGCCATTGAGTTAAAAATTCAGGACGATTTTGTAATGTATAAATTCTAATGTAAATACGACAAATCAAGTAAGCATGGGCTAATGGTCCAATACCTCCTGTACCTACCAGGCATCCCAACAACATCCTCTACTCCTTGCATCCTTTGCCGTCTGCACAGCCGTGCTTTCCTCCGCTTCATTGGGTTTTATTTTGACTCACCTTTAGCACCTGAAACCGATTTGGACATACGGACTCGAACTAGTGGGCTAAGTATCCAAGGAAATTCGTTCTTCTAATCGAAAGTCATCAGAATTAACTCAACGTCCACAATACCACCTTCTTAACGACTTCAAAAAACCCTTTGTAAATAAATTAAGCTCCACTAAATTTTCTAGGTTCCACGATAAAGTCTCCACTCACCCCAGCCATTAGCCTAATCCATGTCCAACCTTGGAAACCAAATTGATAGGTTATGCCAAATAAGCATCAAATTATATTGAAGAGACGAACGTTTACTGTAAAAAATAAATTATATGCATGTAAGTCGAAACGTATTGTCGTCTCACAGGGTAGTGTCTTGGGACCTTCACTGTTCTTTATATTCACCCAGGACAGGCGTTTATTTGAAAATGTTCCTCTTATTCGCAGAACTTCCCTTTCTTTAAAATTGACTCTCCAAAAAGTTTAACCCGGTAATAAATTTTGTTGGTGTATTCATACTTTTAAGAACTAATGTGTTCTTTATAGTCCAGTCAGAAGACTAAACTGAAGTAATGTTGGGATAGCAAAAAAGGTTGTTAATTCCCCACAAGAGATTTTTACATGGCAATGTTCTTCATTCCATCTCACCAACGTTCTAAGACATCGATCGATGTAGGAACAGTTTAAAAGCAAATCACAGGTTGCGGTCTCATTTGCTTAACTAGTTTTCCAACAAGTACAAACTAACATACCTTACCAAAGGCTTTCGTTGTCCTCCTATGAAAATCACTAATTTAAAAAATGTAATAATTAACTGGTCGCGTTTTTAAATAAAACAACAAAGCCTCCGAATTGTTTTGATGGGTCAAACTTTATCGCTTACTCTTCAGCGAAATATTTGGAAATATCTTTTATTAAAGTTGTAGGGTAGTTGTTTGTTGTCACTTATCACCGTGGACCTTCTTTGTCTTATATACGTCTGTATACAAAAAAAATTCTAAGTCGACTATTGTTTTTGGGTTTTATACCTGTCTTTGGCCAAAAAAGCCAACACATTGTACTACTTCATATAGGCCAATAAGTATTCTACCTACTTTGGGAAAATTTTAAGAAAAACTCCTACTTAATTCTTCCGATTCTAAATTCTCAAAACATAATCTCAGACCATCAATTTGGTTTTCGCAACCGCCACTCAACTGTCCAGCAGTGTAACCGCGTGTTAGACATTATTTCGTCCTCCCTTGAGATGGGACAGTACTTTTCCGGAGCCTTGACGTAAGCCAAGCTTTTGATCGAGTTTGGCACCCGGGCCTGCTGTTCATGCTCAAGGGCATCCTTCCATCCACCTACTATCTCGTACTGCACAGTTACCTCATTGACCGATTCTTCCAAGTCATCGAAGGCCATTCCCTCTCTTCATATTTTTCTATCCATGCTGGTGTTCCTCAGGGTAGCGTACTGGCCCCTACACTGTACCAGGTTTTCACAGCGGACATGCCATCTCATCCCGAAACCACCACATTCACATTTGCAGACGATACGGCAATTCTCTCTATCAACTCCGACCTTGACATTTCCATTCGAAACCTCCAACAACACCTCGTACTACTAGAGTCTTGGTGTAAAAAGAAAAGGATAAAATTTAACACAGACAAATCCACCCACATTACCTTCACTCGTCGTAAAAAGATCTCCCCCCCCGTTTTCTTAAACAATATTCCCCTCCCAACTGCGGACAAAGTGCGGTACCTCGGATTGTACATCGACAAACGCCTGACGTGGAATCCTCACACAAGACTGAAACGTCAGGAGGTTATGACACGATTTAGAGTTCTTGCACGACTTCTTGACAAACGCTCTAATTTACCTCTCAAAAGTAAAAGACTGCTTTACAACACCATAGTTAAGCCGATTTGGACTTACGGATTGGAAGTGTGGGGTTCAGCCAAACATTCCAATATCCACGCATTCAAACTGCCCAGTCTATAATACTACGAAAAATACTAGATGCTCCATTTTATGTATCGACCAAACTACACATACAGATTTACATATTCCTTTCGTACAAGATGAAATACGTTTCCGTTACCGTAAATTTCATAAAAACCTCCCAACTAACGTAAACCAACACATCAGAAACCTCGCATCCCGACGAATCCCCTCAAACCCTCCCCGCCGACTGAAGAGACAATGGCCGCGAGATCTCCTAGGAAGTGATGGTGATGACAGTGAAAGTGATAATGACACACGTATCAATTGAACAAACAATATTATTGTAACATTGGAGTAATACCAATGGGTGTTTTCTCCACTCTTGGTTTTAATTTTGTTTTGTTTTAATTACCTTGCTCACTGTTACCTATTACCTACTTTAAGGTAGTTGTAATATATTACAAATTATTAAAAACAAAAATACCCGTCAAATGTAGGAATAAAATAAAATTCTGCACGAATGGGATATTTTGGTCTTTGTGAATTTTTACGTTTTTGACGTAGAAGACGTAGGCGGGATTTTGTAGGATATAGGAGGATTTCGCCTAATAGCACAGCTTATCATTTTAAACCAGATATCCGACAGGAAGAACTTCAGGACAAGAAGCAGGTGTGAGATAGTTTTAACTTGAAGAGTGGGTGCCAGTCTCTAGCCTGGAGGGCATTAACAACTACAAATCCCTACTGAGCAGTAGAAATGAAGGCTCAGAAACCGAATTGATAGGGTATATCAAATAAGCATCAAATTATATAGAAGAGACGAAAGTTTACTGTAAAAAATAAATTATAAAACGTTTTATCGTCCCACAGGGAAATGTCTTGGGACCTTCACTGTTTTTGATATTCACCCAGGGCAGGCGTTTATTTGAAAATGTTCCTCTTATTCGCAGAACTTCACTTTCTTTAAAATTGACATATTAACTCGGCAAAAAGTTCACCCTGGTAATAAATGTTGTTAGTGTTTTCATACACTTAAGAGCTAACTGTGATAACAGAATAATGTAATCTCCATTTGTTTACCGTCAAAGTACAATACAATAACCATAGCAATAAGCATCAAATTATACAGCATAGACAAACGTTTCTTGTTAAAAATGCATTTTCTGCTTATAAGTCGAAACGTTTTGTCGTCTCACAGGGTAGTGTCTTGAGACCCTCACTGTTCTTTATATCCACCCAGGATAGGCGTTTTTTAGCCTAATGGACGAAATCTCACCTTTGAGTTAGGAAGAAACATCATAAGTCTTCAGATGTGTTCTACGACGAGTGAAATTTATGTAAAACCATAACAGACATATGTTGTTATACCAATTGGGATAGCTGTAGCATACATTGAAAAAAAAATAAACATGTTGGATTGAATAGGGTTTGAAATAATGTTTTATTTATCAACACCAACTTTATAACTTTTATTATATACTTTCTCAATAAATTTTACAAATTCTTATAATTTACCAATTTTTTTTCACAGTGCGATTGGCTTTTTTTGGTTTCATTAGTAGTTATTGTTTGTTTTTTGGTGCTTTCCAAGACAAATAAGCTCGTTTGAAAATGTTCCTCCTCTTCTCAGAACTTCCCTTTCTTCAAAATTGACAAATTGTTTCTCCAAAAAATTTCATCCCGGTAATAAATTTCGTTGGTGTTTTCATATACTTACGAGCTAACTGTGGTAACAACAGAATAACGTAGTCTCCATTTGTTTATCGTCAATGTACAATACAATAGTAATAAATTTAATTGCAATTTTATTTCAAAATCTCATAGACTTTTTAATTATATAAAAATTTTAATTTTGGTTAATTTTTTTTCATTTTTAAGACTCTTCTATTATATTATATATATCTATATTCTTATTACAATATAATTTAATACACAACCCAAATGAAACTTTTAATTAATTTTTCATTTTAGCAGATATATTCAACAACATTCACACCTTCTGATAACAATATAGTAAATATATTAAATATTTTTATTATTGTTTATACATATATTTATTATTATATGTTTTCTTTCGTTATTATATATATATGTTTTTAAATATAAAATTAGGCATTCTTTTTTTAAATAAGATTACTTAATGACATTGTATCGACTTACATAAGGCCTCTTTATACAATATGTGTTTAAAAAATGTTTAGTATATCTCTTATTGATAACAATTGTTAGTTTTTCTCCAATGTACTGCATCATTGAGACAGAGATCTTTCGGTTTCTTGTTTACTCGAAATGACAGTAAATTGTTTTTGTAGAAATAGTTTCTTATACTATAATAATTATCAAACTACTAGTAATAGCAGCGACGTTAGAAAAAAATGCAATTCTTTCCATTCCACTTTGTTGTTCTCATCGTAATATTTTTTTTACAATTTTCTAATTATTATATTTTACACTAAAATTCTCTTCTATAAACAACAATCGTCCTCGCTAGCACCACTACTGACAAACATAACAAATTCAATATAAAATACACTACAATAATATTTTTTGTTCTTTGTATATATAATTCAATCATCAGATCCTTTTACAATATCTTCTTCGATCATTGTGTATTTTTTTTTTTTTAGGTTTTGTATAAGACACAAGATTTTGTACAGAGCAATGTCGAGGCCGGTAACAAATATTCTGTTGTCGTTGCTTTAAACTATAAAACAAAAGAAAGGTACAAATTTGAACGCTTGTGTGTAAAAATCAAAAACAAAAACAAACGTAAAGTTTCTACAACTGGGAATAATAAGGAAAAAAATAAACAAGCAGTATTTACTATCATGGTCCCGTATGTAAACAAATGTGCACTGCACAAATAATTTGCATGAAACCAAAACGTGTAGGATGGCACTTACGAACGGATTTATGTACAAAAACCTAGGAACTAAAAACTATTGTGCTTATAGACATTTGTAAGTGTGTTGGTTCGTAAAAAGAACTAATTCATGGACTGAAAGCTTATAAAAGCCGATTCATTTTGTAATAAGTAATAACTAAACACTATAATAAATGTTTCTTTGCAAGGGAGCTTTGCAATAATAATAGAGACAATTTGTACGGTCCATTTGACACTGACAGTGGATAAAAGGGATTAAGGTCTTGATGTGACAATTGAGTTAAATGTTAGTACAGCCCTTTTGTTCTGTCCTTTGAAACCGCTTCGCCATTACGCGAAGGCTCTTAGTAAAACTGAAAGTTCCGACGGTATCGATCTATCTATCTGTGAGACTTAGCTTTCTTTTATGATATAGAATAGAGTATAATCAGTTAACCGACTAGTACTACCTTCTGTGGTCTCCGCGTATTAAATACTTTCTCAATTAATTAAAAATGTAGAATTTTTGAGAATTGTGCTATCCAGTTAAGACAGACTAAAAAATACCTATGTATTTTTTTAGATACAAGTAACTACAGTGAACTGTCGATTTCTCATGTCGTCGTCTCACCCCATAGGTCGTGGGTTCGATTCCCACAGTCGTCAATGAAAACTTTAACCTCTCATAAACCATTTCTTCATTTATTGATAGATGAACAGAGCGAGAGAGAGGAAGAGAGAGAGGGAGTGAGTGAGAGAGAGGGAGGGAGAGAAAGACCTAAACAGAAGGAGAGGAAGAAAGAGAGAGAGAGAGAGAGAGAGAGAGAGAGAGAGAGAGAGAGAGAGAGAGAGAGTGGGAGAGAGAGAGAGAGAGCTAAACAGAAGGAACGGAGAGAGAGAGTGAGAGAGAGAGAGAGAGGGGGAGAGAGAGAGGGAGAGAGAGAAAGAACTAAACAGAAGGAGAGGAGAGAGAGAGAGAGGGAGAGAGTGAGAGGGCGGAGAGAGAGAAAGAACTAAACAGAAGGAGAGGAGAGAGAGAGAGAGAGGGCGAGAGTGAGAGGGGGAGAGAGAGAAAGAACTAAACAGAAGGAGAGGAGAGAGAGAGAGAGAGAGCGAGGGTGAGAGAGAGAGGGGGAGAGAGAGAGGGTGAGAGAGAGAGGGGGGAGAGAGAGAGCTAAACAGAAGATGAGGGAGAGAGAGAGAGAGAGAAAGACAGAGAGAGAAAGAGAGAGAGAAAGAGAGAGTGAGAGAGAGAGCCCACGCAGTCAGACTTTCTATCTTTAGATATAAACTCAACTACTCTGGTCTCTAATATAAAAAGAAAAACTGTCTCCCATTTTTGACAATCGATGTATTCAGTAAGACATTAAACTTAAATTTTATAAAATTCATGCGAACTCTCGATTTGTCGCAGACAAGATCGTGGGTTCGAATTCCGCTGATGTCAATGGGATTTTCTGACATTCCAAACCCAACCCACTTATTCTCCAGCTGGGCCTAAAAAATATTTAAAAAAATGTATAATGAAACAAGCGTAGAAAAAAGTTTATAGCAAAAACTGAAAACTGTGACTTCCAAGTTAAATTATGTAATTTAATAAACTGGAATATGTTTAATTTCGATTTTCAGTAATTTTAGGTTTTCACATAACCTTCACCCTCCGCAAAAACATCCCTCCGTCTACTTCAATCAGATACCCCTCCCAATTACGGACAAGGTGCGCTACCTAGGACTATACATTGACTAACGTCTGACGTGGAATCCCCACACTCGACTGAAACGACAAAAAGTTATGAAACGTTACAGAGCACTTTCACGACTTCTTGACAGACGTTCTAACTTACCTCTCTTAAACAAAAGACTACTTTATATCACCCTAGTGAAGCCAATTTGGACTTATGGACTGGAAGTGTGTGGTCAGTCATCCTCAGAAAAATCCTTAATGCTTCCTTTTATGTGTCCAACGACACTACCCATATAGCCCTAAATATTCCTTTTGCCCAAGATGTAATCCACTCCCGTTACCGAAAACTTTACACAAACATCCCAACCACTATAAATCCTCAAATTCAAATCCTCTCATCCCGACGAATTCCTTCCAACCCTCTTCGCCGACTAAAAAGACGATGGCCATGGGATCTTCTATCCAGTGACAATTGAATTAAGAATAGTTAAGAGTACTACCATTGGGTAGTTGCTCAACTCTTGTTTTCTTGATTACTTATTCATACACTATTACTAGATACTAAAATGAAGGTAGTTGTAATTTTAGTATCGCAAAAAAAAACAGTAATTTTAGCTTTTTTTATCATAAAATTTAAGAATCAAGAATACTTTTTTTGTATGTTCATATAGCCTAGTCCTAATATAAATTTACGCAGTACGTTTTGATATACATTATGCAAATGAATGTATATATCTGTCTATCTATAAATTATAATGAATCCTCTTATTAAGAGACAGTCATGTTGTCACTATTTTTCCCATTTTTCGGGAGGTGTCCTGTATACGTATATATACAGATACTACATTTGACGTACATTAGACGTAAATTTTCAATGACTTCACGATGATTTTAGATCCTCTTAGCGTTTAGATAAGTTTTAATTTATTAGGTAATATTTTTTACACAAGGTCCCGAAAACTTTTCCTAAGGGTCAAGCAGTTCTTTTCTTTCTAGTAAAGTCACCCTTTGCCGGGTCGGAACCATGTTAACAATGAAAAATTTGGACTTAAACCGAAATCATGAAATGAAAACTATATCGAAAAAAATTAAATAGATTGTGCGGGGGATGTTAACAAATAAAACACCTCAATTTATTGAATAAATAATTTTAAACGTAATTAGAGTTCAGATTAACAGATAAGGATCGGATATTCTGTTGTGTCTTAGTCCTTTTATTTTGTCCGCTAAGTAGAAATCTTAAATATATAGAAATTTGTAAGTATCCTGTAAACGTAGGTCTTACCTAAACGAAAAAAATAAATCCAATTTATTCTATACTTAATCTCTAAAATTGACAGAAAAACTGTGATTCTCATTTTCTCAGAAAACATTTAAATGATGCACGGCTTGGAATTTCATATTTTTATTATTTAATATAAATCAAGAGCAGAAAACTGACCAGGAATGTAAAAACAAAACAGTTAAAAAACAGATAAACTCTTTTCAGAAAAACAACCGCAGGAAAAATCCACCTCCAGGATCTTAGCAGCGACAATTAATTCGACCTCGCTCAAGAAGCAAGAAGACTCCTTTGTACAATTTCCGCCAACCATCGCACTCAAGAAATTTAGATCTAAGTAGTAAGCACTGTTTAAACTTTGCTTTTTGGAGATAACAATATAACCTTGGAACTTAACAACTTAGAATTCTCTGATTTGGACATCGTCTGAATTCAAGAGACTCAATGAGAAGAAGGTAGAAGTTCGAGTTAATTAAGCGATCAGTTTCTCCAAACCTTACCAGAAAATGTAAAACAGGTAGAGCAGGTGAAAACTTCTGGTCTGGTTTAGAAACACTCTCTCCGTATTGGAAGTTGAATTTTTCAGAACAGACACTAAAAAAAAGATCGATAGAGCTTGGATGTTGATGGAGCTTCATTAGTTAGATAGATAAATAGATACATCGATTCAACACTTTCATTTCTTTTTTTATCCAACGATTCAATTTATTATATGATTAAAAAAAACTTTTATATTTGAATCCCTCAATTAGTTCTTTATTTTTTATTGATAATGCCATTACCACAGTGGTCGGGTGAAAATTAAAAAAAATTGGTCTTAAGACCTAATAAAGAGTGTCGAGCTTAAAAAATGAAATAAAAACATACAAAAGTACATATTGGAAATAATAAAATTGTGAGATACGTGAGGAAGCCAAAGGTGATTTTTCATTTACATAATACACACACATATATTACAATGTATTGTTTTATAAATATATATGTATATATTTGAGTGAAAAAAGCCGGTGTTCGAAGGTAAAAATAATAGTATACAGATAAACGTGTAAGCTGTATTTTGAGATTAAAAGGATTTTGTTTTTAAAGCTCTTAACTGTGTTAAAGGTACTTTACTGAACTGTAGAAGTGTTCTACTCATTATCAGTTGAGTATCACTTACTCATTTCCATTTCTCAGTCAGTGATAATCTGAAACAATTTCAACTATTACCACCTCCAACGGGTAAAGAAAATCAAAATAAAAACAATTATGATAAAAATTGATAAGTTTTGTATGGTTTTATGATTGAGAGAGAGAGGAAAAATTTGCCAATCTCACAGCCAACCCGTGGCTATGTTATGACCGGACACTGGTTGGATCCCAGGAGGCAAACTGGGCATGATCATGCCGTTTCTGTCTTTGAAATCATCGACAGTTCTACTTTCAGACTTTTCTGTCCTTAGAACTTCGGTCCTACCTTGAACTGGGACGCTGGAAGCTCTTTTCAACACTTTTTTCTCACACTTCTCCTCGATGTCGACGCTCGAGGACTCGTTGGGAGTGTAGCGGGACTTGTGGAACTTCTCCCTTTTCTTCTTGAGGGCGGAGAGGGCTTTGCCGTCGACGGCGCTCGCGTTCGAGTCGGTGTCCGTCTGGTTTTCCGAGTTGGGGCTCCTCTGCTCGCACACGGAGTCTTCTGAACGGCTTTGCGATATGAACCGGCCGACTTTGCCCGTTTTCGCCACTTCGATCAGGCTGTCCCAACGTCTCTTCTTCCCGCTTCCGGCTTTGAACATGAGCCGGCTCAGGTTGTCTTTGTACTTTCGCCTGATGCTCATCCCGGGCCCGGTCCCTGGAACAAATGAAAAACGCAAAGGTTACAGGAGAAAAACCGTCCCGTTTTCAAATATTACCGCACCCGGTAATTTAAATAATGCAATGAATGTGAATTTTTCAGGGGAGGCTTACTTTGTCGTGCCGAAGAACGATTGACGGGTTGTCAGGCGACGGAACCGACTGTCACTCTGAAAGTTTCGACATTCTTACAACCCATTGGTCAATTTCTGTCTCATTTTTTGTTTTTATTTTACATAGGACAAAATTTCAAACACAATGCCTTGCTAACATTTTGCAACTATCGAAATTTCACACATTTAAGCTTTGAATACATGAAATAAAAAGCACTACGGACTTTGGGGCAAACTGCTAAAGCGGAATACCAAGGACTGTGATTATTTACAGATGGCGGGTTTTGTAAGAGACACACTGAAAAGGAACTTAAAACACAGAACTTATACTTTAAACGAATGGGGGTTTTCACCACGCCCCCGTGATAAGACAAACATCCGTGTCGAATTGACATAACCCGGGCAAATAAAAATACGCCAGGAAAAACGGCTGGAGCGAAATCTGGTCACAGTTAAAAGCTGGGTTCTATAAATCTGAAATCCGTTTAAGCCGGTAATATGAGGAATGTCGGGACTTTTCTCGGACTATAAACCAAAGAGAACGTGATCGGAAAAAAACACATAGAAAGTAAAAAGAAGACAAGAAATTCTTTCCTCGGTTTGGGGCTCTCGACTAATTGGCCACTAGACGGATAATTATGCAGGAAAATGGCTAATTGATATCTTTGTTTATTCTTCTGCAATGATGAATGTAAAACAACTATTCCCAATTTGCTTTTCAATTTTTTAAAATCAAGTAGGTGATTATTGCTTCAATTTATAAATTTTTCTTTCCTATATAGGTTCATTATTAAATCTTATTACAGCTAAGAAGAGCCGTAGTATTTTAAATAAATTAAACGTCTTATTACATAGAGGAAAATCACTACAAAGTTGTTTTTATTTAAATTTTATGTACAAGATGGAATGGAATATTTTCAACAGGTTTAGATAACTTTTATAAATGAATTATTATATTAATGATATGATTATTATTATATTGATTATAAATTCATTAGGTTTCGTAGTCCGATTGACCAAATAAATTCTTTTCAATTAATTAATCTTTAAGAAAGGTATTAGTTGAGATAAAAAAGTCAGTGTCACGAGCGGGATTCGAACCCACGACCTTCGGCTCAATTCGCCGCTGCTCTACCACTTGAGCTATCGTGACTTCGATCCACTCGGGCACTAACTTCCCATCTCAACCCAACCTTTCGAATTTTCCCTCCTTTTCGCCATTTTGACTAATGAAATGGCAATCCGACTCGCGACACTGACTTTTTTATCTCAACTAATACCTTACATAAATATTAATTAATTGAAAGATGTTATTTGGTCAATCGGACTACGAAATCTAATGAATTTAATAAGTTAAATGAAGTATATCTTCACTAAAGCTCTCCGTGGCCATTTCCTTTGTCGCCGAGAATCAAATAAATTACACGACATTTGAAAAATGGCAAAAAGGAGGGAAAAGTCGAAAGGTTGGGCTGAGATGGGAAGTTAGCGTCCGAGTGGATCGAAGTCACGATAACTCAAGTGGTAGAGCAGCGGCGTATTTACCCGAAGGTCGTGGGTTCGAATCCCGCTCGTAACATCGACTTTTTTTATCCCAACCAACACCTTACATTAAGATTATTTTAAAGTGAATTTATCTCAACCCCGCCTTTTGAATTTGTCCTCCTTTTTGCCATTTTTCAAATGTCGTGTAATCAGGATTCGATTCTCGGCGATAAATGAAACGCCCACGGAGAGCTTTTGTGAAGTATACTTCATTTCGCTTATTAGATCTATTAGGTTTCGTGGTCTGATTGACCAAATAAATTCTTTTCAATTAATTACGGCTTTGAGATAAAAAATCAGTGTCACGAGCGGGATTCGAACCCACGATCTTCGGCTAGATACGCCGCTGCTCTACCACTTGAACTATCGTCACTTTGATCCATTCGGACACCAACTTCAGTTCATCTTCACCAAGTTCATTTTGGTTATTAAATTCATTAGGTTTCTTGGTCCGATTGACCAAATAAATTCTTTTCAAATAATTAATCTTTAAGTAATTTGGTTGCTTGACAGTTGACTGATTTTTTTCATATCAACTAATACCTTACTTAAAGATTAATTATAAATTTCATAAATGGAGAAAAATAATTTATCTAAATAAAACGCACTTCAGTACCACCAGAACGAGGTTTCTATCTTGACTATTTCCTGAAAAATCAACATTTTTTGAGATTTTAGTCCAAAATCAGATTTTTTAACATAAAATCGTAATTTCTCAGCTTTAGCATCATTAAAATACAAATCTGACCTATATCTCGCAAACTACATAGAACATTAAATTTTCCACAAGTTGACATTTCCGTTGAAAAATTCGCGCTTCTGAATACACAGTAGCCGCTCAAAGAATAACAAATGGCAAAGCGCATCGGTTTGGAAATACTCAATTGTAGCTCGTGCATTGGCCTGTCTATTAAAATTTTCGGGGCTTTAACCATAGTTGCCTTATTTTATAAGCATTCCAAGGACATACTCATTTTTACATTTTTTAGAACTTTTCTTAATGAAATCTCCATTGCAAGGTCGTAAAACGTGATATCGAACCCAAGGAGAACAGCAAGACAAGAACATCGTACATGTCATATTTTTATAAAAACATTTATTCAAAAATTAGATCCATTCTTCTCTGAACATAATTAAAGGTGAATTCTTAAATTGCCCATTCGTTAGAGTACGTGGTCCGATTGACCTAATAACTTTTTTTCAATTATTTAATCTTTACGTAAGGTTTGGTTGAGATAAAACAGTCAGTGTCCGAGTGGTTCGAAGTCACGATAGCTCATGTGGTAAAGTAGCGGCGTATTGAGCTGAAGGTCGTGGGTTCGAATCCCGCTCGTGACACTGACTTTTTTATCTCAACCAATACCTTAAATAAAGATTAAGTGTTTTTAGTTTTTTGACATTTTAATTGTTGTTTTTATATGTTATTTATTTATTATCAACGATTTATAAACATCTACATATGTACCTGAAAAAGAAATTGTAAACTAACTCAGCCCTGAAGATGTTTACATATTAAACGAAACCTTGGCATGAAGTTGGGAGTTATAAATTATACCATCGAGAAAGCCAACAAGTATTTAAACATTCTTCGTGCAGTAACAAGTAAGAAATGGGGCGCAGATCCTTCCTCAGCACTATTATTCTACAAAGCAACTATTCGCTCGGTCATCGATTATGGTTCCATTTTTTATGGCATAGCAGCCCCTGGTGTATTGAAACCACTAGACTCGATACAAAATAAAGCCATTAGAATTTGCTTAGGGGCGCTAAACTCTACCCCAGTCGATGTCCTGCACAGGGAAGCTAATGAACCCCCGCTATCAATCAGGAGACAATGGCTAGCAGATAAATATGCCCTCAAAACCTATTCCTTACACCACCAACTCTACCAAAAAATCCACAATTTGATGATCGAAGTCCTAACATCCCCTTATTGGATTTAAAAAAAAAGCCCCCAATTATTAGTACCTTAGGGTGGGAATGCCCCAGGTTATTCCAATCAATTCAAGTGAATAAATATCTACCCTTATTCAATCTTGAATTCTTCTCAACAATGCAAAGATCCCGGTTAATTATTCTACCAGATTTNTTTCTGTGATCTAATATCTGATTATCTCACATATAAATCTACAGAAGGTCGATCCATCTCTTAACAATAAATTTTATAGGTTTTAGGGCAGCCGCTGAACCGCCTTCACAAGAAATTTTCACCGTGTATTACAGCATGAGGTGAACACTCGATCCAAGTTTCATATAAGTCGGTTGATCAGTTAGGGAGGTATTGAAGGGAATATGGTTTTGAGTGGCCCTCACATGTCAGAAGCAAAAGCCTTTCTAATACATAGGATTAAATCAATACACGTAGGATAACCACCCGCAACGGACATTGGCAAGATTTTGCGAATAAGATGAAGGCTAAATTTTGCATTAATCGAACTAAGTTTTATAAAATTATGCGGATTATTTAACAATCATTGAGTAGAGCCTGTTGAAAAGCAATAGACGTTTTAACCTCCCAGGGGAAAAATCGAAGAAAACAATAAAATATAATCTTTTGGGGGGCTTTTTCAGGAGGAAATTACTATCAAGCGATATCGACAAAATTGATCAATAAACTAAAACCTTCTTAAGTAAGGATGTGTAGTGATCGACCTGTTAACGGTCTTTTGAACATGACTTTTATAAGTTTGCCAAGCTTTTGGCGAATATATTTTGCCTCCCTCAGGGCAAAGTTATGAGAAAAAATATAAGTTATCTGGAGTCTACATGGATTCTCTATTAAAAGACCGTTTTTGTAAATAATTGTTTTATAAATAATCCCTAATATTTTTTAAAGTTTTTTTCATAAATGTGTACTGAGGAAGGCGAAATATATACGCCGAAAGCTTGGCAAACTTATAAAAGTTATGTTCAAAAAAATCCCTGATCCACTTCTCCAATTAAAACCTCTTCAATAATTCGGCTAGGTTAGGTTGAGTTGTGTCGATCAGCTTATGGGATTTACCAGTAATAAAGCAATTAATTTGTAGACAGGAGAGAGTTAAATTCTTACAGCATTTCGACAATGTACATGCATATCAAATGATTATTGTGCTTTATTGTATTACATTATAACATTGTAGAGACTTTTCTATAATTATTAATTTATTTTTGAACCGAAAAGTGCACTTGAACATTTTGAATCACATGATGTTTAAGGATGCTCATAGATAATCGATAATATTGAAAATATCGATAGATTTGGTACCGATATTTTATCCTGAATATGCGAACTAATTGTAAGATACAGTTCAATTAAATAATATATGTATTCAAGTATAACTAATTATGTGTATTTTTTACTCAATAATATCGATAGATTACCAAGTGACATTTGTTTTACGTATATTTATTAGAGATAAACATATAACATCGATATAATAAACGATTAAAATAAAATCTCGATATTTAACTCGGTCTTTGAGATGTTTGTTATCACTATGTATGTATACTGGGTGTCCCAGTTCCTTCTGGCGAAACTCAGGGAATCGATTCTACTCTTCATTTGGAGCAAAAAATGCTCAGGAGAAAATTTTAGGAAAGTTCTCTATTTTGAAGATATTCGTCAATTTAGGTTTTTTCAACTTTTCACTACCTTACCACATAAAAACGCTTACAACTTCCAAAATGTCGAGACTACAACAAATCCAATGACACCATTTGAAAGAACGCTAAATTTGCTGTAAGATACTTCTTTGCNTGCGAACTATATATATATATACATATATGTGTGTGTGTGTGTGTAAATTATAAAAAATTTTCTTACGCAATTCACTAGTTTTCGTGGTCCGCTTGACCAATTAATTAAAAATGGCAAAAAGGAGGGAAAATTCAAAAAAGGTGGGGTTGACATGGGAAGTTAGTGTCCGAGTGGACCGAGGTCACGACAGCTCAAGTGGTAGAGCAGCGGCGTATCTAGCCGAAGGTCGTGGGTTCGAATCCCGCTCGTGGCATTGAGTTTTTTTGTCTCAACTAAAAACCTTAATTAATTGAAATTTTTCTTACGGTTACTTTATTCGATATTTATTACGTTGGATTTATAAATGTTTCTTGTACACATCTTAAGATTAAATTAAGCTTTTTCAAATTGTACTATATGTAGATAACTTAAATTAATGTGCTAACTGACCTATACGACGACGTTGTTTTTTAAAATTTTATATTATGTTGTTTTTATTGTTTTTAATTAATTACATACTGTTAATGTCTAAAGATCAATACTGAGCTTCACCTAATTATAATTGCAGTTTCTTTTTTCTCAAGATATATTTCAACACTCATCGATTTAAAGTAAGGAAAATATAACTGTTTTTTTAATGATACGATATGTTATAGCTGCGATATTTTTCTAAAATAAATAGGCCCTGATGATGACGTTATAATCGTCGAAAGCTCGGCAAAAACTTTAAGATTTGTCGTTCTGTTGTGACCTCACCGAAGATTCTTTTTTTCAAAGTTGTTCAACAGCAGGTCGATCCATCATCTCATCGTTAACATCTCTTGAAGTTATGACTCAAATATAAAAATCAACAATATTTTATTTGACGAGATATTTATTGGAACTATTTTTAAGATATTAATTAAAAAAATCGATATTTTGCTATAAAAATCGTAATTAAAGGTTTTTAAAAAGTGCTCGAAACGCATTTTTCGATTTTGTAACATTTTGTACGTATATAATCTAATTTAATACGATCTTACTTATTAGTTATTTTTTTAAACTGGTTTTTAACTTTACAAAAACTTTACTGGCATTCAGAACTCTACTAGTAAAGGTATCAAATGGGTCTCCGAAAATAAATTAAAACCTGGCGTATAAAATAAAACGTTTAAGGTTGGTTGATTTCATATATATCTCCCTAACATTGGCATATAAACCTAACATAGGCTTAAAGAAAAAATCAGCCAACAGTTGTTATAACGTGAAAATTGGATAAAATTGAAAAAAAAAATCCAAAACAGTTATGAATTTTTAAGTAGAAAACCGGACAATAAAAATACCTCCTGCGGATCTACCCCAAAAATCTCTATTTTTTTGTTTCCTATAAAAAATAGTATTTATGATTTTTAAAGTATACTTAAAGCGTGTCCAAATTGAATTTTTCAAAAACAATTTTTTATCTGCTTCATTCTAACATATTATTTCCTCATCTTCTCTCATCAAAAAATTGTGAAATTACAACCAGGGATATGAAATATAACCGTAAGGAGTTTTTTAAAATTTAATTTAATTCATTAGTTTCGTGGTCCGCTTGACCAATTAATATATTACAATTAATTAAGGTTTTCAGTTGAGATAAAAACGTCAATGGCACGAGCGGGATTCGAACCCACGATCTTCGGCTTGATACGCCGCTGCTCTACCACGGATTTATCTCAACTGAAATCTTTAATTAATTGTAATATATTAATTGGTCAAGCGGACCACGAAACTAGTGAATTGAATAAGTTTAAAATGAAGTATACCTTCACTAAAGCTCTCCGTGGCCATTTCATTTGTCGCCGAGAATCAAATTGATTACACGACATTTGAAAAATGGCAGAAATTCAAAAGGTGTGGTTGAGATGGGAAGTTGATGTCCGAGTGGATCGATGTCACGATAGCTCAAATGGTAGAGCAGAGGCGTATCAAGCCGAAGATCGTGGGTTCGAATCCCGCTCCTGGCACTGACTTTTTTATCTCAACTGAAAACCTTAATTAATTTTAATTTAATTTAATCTTTATTTTTCTAACTTATGACTCCTTAGAACTTAAGATGTGCTGATATATGTAGCCTAATCGAGGAGAAACATTCTGTAATGTTCATTTTGGATAAAAGTCAGTAGAGTTATGAATATTAAAGTGGAATTGGAGTAAAAAACTTGCCCAAAATTTTATACTTTTTATTGCCACTGTACATCTAACTGTACTAAAGGGTACTTAAAACCAATCCATTTTTTAAAAATGAGACTTTTTCCTGCTTTACTGGAAGCATCTATTTGTTTTTGCAACTTTTTGAAAGAACGCCCGGACAAGTGTTTTATATTTTTCAACCAGTATTAGCAAAAAGAGAAGGGGCTCGGTGGCCGTAGCAGTTAAGGCGTTGACACGACGCTCGTCGTTGTAACATAAAGATCCCGGGTTCGAATCCAGCGGCCCTGCATTAACTCTACATACAAATGAGCTCTTTTTTTTCAAAAACTCCGACAACCTGATACGACCTGTTGCGACCCTCTTAAAATTTGTTTTCTCATTGAAATCGTTGTTCCCACGTAAGTCCTGGTTCTAGACCCGTTATCTTAGAATTAAATATCTCTTTAGCAAGAATAATCGATAAAAATACTGTGAGATATTTTGATGATGTCTGCGGGGTGATGAATCTGCAGTTGGATGTCTCAGATTATTTTGGCACGTCTAGTCTGGCTGATCTGATAGACGCATTTCCGCAGTTCGAATTATTGCGATCCTTGGTGTGTGAGTTATTCTATCAGTTGTGTTCTAACAAAAGTTAAAAGTTTTATCACTGATTTGAAGATATTCAGATCTGCACCTCTTTTCTATCTTTCCTTCGTATTTGTCTCTCTGCTTTGTTTGTGCGTTGGCTGTCTGTAATGAACAGCTGAACATCCAGACGAACGTCGAGTGCAATTTGTGCTAGGTGCTCGTGCCATTTTATTTTTACAAAAATGATTGATGTGATTTTTAAAGTATAATTATCACTTATTTATCTGATGAGCGTGTTTTTGTGTCAAACGTTGGTTGTCGATGGTGAAAGTTTTGAGGGTGTGCTTAACTGAATATTGAAAAAATTTCACTATATTTTGTTGCATTGAAATGGAACTGGTGTTCCAAACCTCTTCCATCCTTGTGACTTTAGAGAGATTTTTTTCCATTGCTAGTTTTTATAAACTACAGTGCAACTTAATCTCCATGGGAATTGTCTACCCTTAAAAAGCCGAGGGAACTCGGCCAAATAGTGGACGTGCAAGACCAGGCGTCGGGGTTGCTGAAACTACGTGCGGTGCTGACTTGCGTTGCTTATTCTCGCCCGGCGTGATTTGAAGTGGCTGTGTTCCAATAACAAAGCTAATATACCGACTCTGATGGCAGTTATCCAGCCGGGAGAGCCCGAGTTGTTCCCGCCCCAACGCTGCGGTTCGAAAAGTACGATCCTCCTTTCCGGCCGGCATCGGATCTCAAGGTCCAATGACTGATTTCCTCCTAAATCGGAGAGAGAAAACAAAAACAAAGAGAGAAAAATCATATGAGTCCTTTAGGACAAGGCATTTCAGGGGGAAAATCAGGGAGAGTTTTTTAATTATGCGGAGGGTTGGAGGTCGAAGGATCAACTGTCTAGATCATAATTTGTAGGAATCACGAAAATTAAAAACACGTCACAACACAGAACAAAACATTTTTTTAAAATTTGTAGTACATTACCTGCGATTTTGTAACAAGTAACATTGAGAAAGGAAATCGATATAAAATTTAAAAAGAAGAGTGAACAAATTACCTACTGGTAGTCTGAGCTTCAATGATTCTACAATTTTTTCTATATGTCTCACTAATACTGGATAGCAGAGACAACTGGAAGATTTTGGGGGAGTCGTTGAGTTGTTAGGTTTTGGATTTGAGGATTAATAATGCTAGGGTTTTATGAAATATGCTTTAATGAAAGAGGATTACACTGCGAACAAAAAAATATCTCAGTCTGTATGGTGTGTTTTGTTGGGACTATAAAATGGAGCATCAAGGTTTTTTCTTATGATTATGGATTGGGCAGTTTGGATATGGGGATATTGGAATGTCTGCCTGAACCTTACACATCCTTAAACCAACCCTCACCAAGACTGGCAAATCCGTTGATTAGTTGGACAGGACGTCTCAGAGGAGATGACTATTAAAGGCGAATTTAATTTCGACTCCAATTTGTACCTTATCATTAAAAGAATGTAAAGCTGTCTCCAATGGCTCCGAAACAAACGAAGAAACCGGATGGCTGTTTTCTGTACAAGCCCAAAAGATGAGCATTCCAATTCACCAGGGAAGTACACATCGGTCTTTCAAGCAGAAATACCTGCCATTAATGCTTGTGCTCTAGAAAGTCTTAAAAGAGGTTACCGCTGGCAAAAAAAAATCCTCATAAGTTCGGATAGCCAAGCAGCTATTAAAGCGTTAGCCTGTAAACAAAAATCAAGTCAAATAAGTCAGTGAATGCATAAAATATCTTCAAAATCTGGGGATACAACAATCTGAAGATACCGAGTAAATATGGCGCCGAGACCCGACGTTTCCCCCCCGGCCACTACACCACCATTTATTGTAAGTTACAACAAAAGTTGATCCTGTATATCTAAAGTTAGCAGCGAATACACTTCCTTGTTCCCTGAGGCAACGAGCGTCTCAAGGGAGTAAGGTCTGTCCGGATCGGTTAGGGCATCAATACCGTTTAGCAGTTTACCTCTTGCGTTTTCAAACCTTGGACATTCCATTACTATATGGTTTAAATCTTCTGGGTAGCCGCAAGTTACACAATTGGGGGACTCCTTAAGCCCGATTCTACACATAAGTGCTCCCCACAGACCATGGTTACTAGAGATTACGGTGAAATAATGTCTAGGTGCCCTGACCCCTTGAAACCACGGTTCTTTCGGCACCAAAGGAAATCTGCTTCTATATAGTGAGCCTCCATCAGCGGAATTATGGAACTCTTGCCAATCTGAAATCCACCTATGGTTCAGTACACGCTGGCAGTCACTTTTGGTCGTAGTCGCACCGCTCACCGTCTATGACCGCTTCCTTTGCAAATCGATCAACTTTCTCGTTTTCCTTTATTCCAGAGTTACCTTTGATCCAGCCTAGGGTAACATTTATGCCCCTGGTGAGTAAATTATTAGTAACAGTAAATTTATGTAAAAAACAACCTTCACCAGGACTGGCAAACTCACTGCTGCAGTCGGAGAGGGCCAGACTCAGTGGAGTGATAGGACTATTAACCGATCACTAGCATCTGAGAAAACATCTACATAACATCTGCATATATATTTTCTGTACGTTGGGTTTCCAAAACATGAGTAATCAAACTCCTTAGGGAAGAACATTTCGGTCTTTCAAGCAGAAATACATGCCATCAATTCTTGTGCCCTGGAAAATCATAAAATAGGTTACACTGACAAAAAACTCCTCGTAAGATCTGATATCCAAGCAGCCATTAAAGCATTAGCTTGGAAAAGAATTACATCACAATTAGTGAATGCATCCAAAATCTCCAAAACCTGGAGAAACACAACAACTTGATGATATCTCGGGTGCCAGGTCATAGAGGAATTTTGAGTAACGAGAAAGCAGACAGACTGGCCAGATGAGGATCTGCAAGACCATACACAGGCCCCGAATCTATTCTTGGGATAACAAAAACAAATATAGAATCCTCCATCGCAGAATGGATCCAAGCAAAACAAAAGGAGAAGTGGATAAACTCTAGCGGTGCTAGACATAGTAAACTTATGATGAAACAACTCTCATCAAGACTGGCAAAATCACTACTGCAACTGGAGAGGGCTAAACTCAGAGGATGATAGGACTACTAATCGGTTACTGGCATCTGAGACAACATCTACACAACATGGGCACATTCAACGATGATCCCATTTGCAGATTATGTAAAGAGGTGGAGGAAACATCCACTCCTATCATCTTCAAATGTTAAGTAATGACTCAGTGAAGACATAACCTAGTTGACAGAAAAAAACCTACGGAATGAAATTGTAGCAGCAATAGTCAATGACCTAATACTTCTGAGAAGAAGAATTGAGTTGAGTGCACTGAACTAAGAAGATACTATAAGCCAAAAGCTGCAGTGCCTGGGGAGCACAAACTCAGCTTCTTAGTACCCTCATCACCATCACCATCATTTTCTTTGTATGCCCATATCGGCTTCACTAAGATGTTATTAAGGAGTCCCTCATATTGCGAGAGGTTAGTCAGAGTTTTTATTGAAAAGACGTGAAATAACTCAGTATTTTGTTATAACTTCTTGACGTTTTAGTCGTACGAGGTACAGCCCTAAGTGTCGAACAGTGTCCGCAGTTGGTAGAGGGTTATTATTGAAGTAAACTGGACAAAGATATCTTTGCGAAGAGTGTACGTTAGATGGGTGGACTTTCTCTGTTAAATTTGATTCTTTTGTTGTGAAGACTCCAGGCTTCCAGGCTATGGACAGGATCAAAGTTACTTGAGAGGATTGCTGCATTGTCTGTAAAGGTTAGAGTGGTTGTTTGTGGATGACATATCAGTTGTGTACTTCTGGTAAGTGTTTAGCCAAAACGCTACCTTCAGGAAAACCAGCATGAATAACACGAGGAAAGGGAAATAAATGCTTTCGATAGTTCAATGATAAAACCATATGAGGTGGATGTAAATTATGAGAAAATAGGTGGAGGGAAAGATGCCTTTGACATGAGCAAGCCCAGGTGGCAAATTTGATCGAACGCTTGACTTACTGGAACCCCTAGACCAGTATTGCTCCTACTAAAAGGGAGAGGAGATAATGTCTACGAAACAACGTTCTTGGACAGTTGAGTGGTAGTTGCGAAAACCTAATCAGTTCAGAATATTTTAATAATTGTATTGGAAGACGTTTTTTTTTTAATAGGAGCTGCTTTTCTAAAATTTTCTTCGAAATAGTTTGTAGTCTTATTAGCCTGTATGAAGTAGTGCAATATAATGAATATAATCCTTTTTGGGTGATTTTGGAGGATTTAGGAGTAATAAGATCAAAATTTGGAGTTTTTTTAAATTTGAGATATTGTATGGTAAATGGCATTAATATCAACACACTAATTTAACAAATATAAGAAAATTGAGGTTAAAAACTTTTTTCTTTTTGTATTCAAAGCTCTAAAAGCCCATTCGGCTCTTTTCTCAACAAGTTAATATCATGTAGCTTACATTATACGAGATAGAAACATAATCAAGGCTTATAAAAAAAGTATCATTGAATGTGTGATGATTAGCGACTGTTAGTCGATGATTATTCAGAAATAGTGAGATCTTCAGGGCTCAAAGTGTTTTCTTGTGCCATTCTTGCATGCCGTGTTGAGAATGCCACCCCCTGAAGATGATCTCAATAAAGATCGAAACGTTGGCACGATAAAGAAAATGTTTTTGTGAAACCTTCGTCACACCAGACCGTATCTCACGATTTCCGAATAAGTATCATGGAATATTTGGAATTAGCTTGCGGAAAGAAGGGATTATGCCTATTTAATAAGTCAAAAACAAAATCCCAGTATTTATTGTTTATTCGTGACTACATTTTCTTTCTATATTTTATAAAAACAAAACCATCCCCTCCATGTCAGAGGAGATAGTCTTGCCTTGTCATTGAGAAGGAGGACTGAAAAAAAATCCAGCTGAAATCCTGAGCAATCAGATTTGTATAGATTTTAAATTTATTAACAACATAAAACTCATTTCTGTGGTGTGACATTTTTATTTTGGTCTTTTTTTTTTTTTGACTGGGGCTTCCGACATCTAGGTCATTTCAGCCCCAACTAAGTTTATATCCTATTTACCCATTCAAACACTACATTCATACAAATAAATACACACAACACATAAGACATATTATATACAATTTAAAAAAAAACAATTTCCCCTAAAAAGCGGAACAGGGCTCTGAAACTCGCTACCGTGTTCGAGAACTATTCTTAAGTCCGGCGACATGCCTACACGCTCTCTGTATGGAGCCAAGGCATGACCCGCCTCTATTATGTGGGACACATCGAGCAACCTTTCTCTGCATAAGGGGCACCTGCGCGGGCTTTGGCCCAAAAGCAGGTGCCCATGTGTCAACCGCGTATGGCCAATCCTCAGTCGGGTGAGGACGATCCCTCGTCTCCTGCTCAGGTTCTCTGAGGGCCATCTCTTTTCCGTTATTTTTTTACGTTCAAAGTTGATTGTTTTAAGTTTGCCCTTAAGAAACGTATTGTTAACTTTGTTACGTCCCATTATTGCTATTTATTTGCTTGAAAGCAAAAGTTTATGCTTTATTTGTTTTATTTTTAAGATGCAACTTGTCTTCATGTCATATATATATATATATATATATATATTTTTTTTTATATTGAAACAAAATATAAGTATCTCTCTTTTATTATATTTTTATAACTTTTCTTCCCAAACAAATTCCTTTGATTTTGAAGCAAGATCACTGTCTA